TGTTCCGCTTCCATCCTAACGGAACGAGCTCCCTCTTCACAGACATGGAATTATCCAGCGGCTGCTAACCCCTCTCCTAGCCCCGCTCTCTCCCAACCCGGCGCGGCTCCCCTGGCAGCAAGGTAGCGGCTGGGGCCGGGCACAGGGCGCGGGGAGTTTTTTGCCCCGTACTCGGAGTTCGTGGTGGATTGACATGCACTTGGCATGCCTTTGGGGAACTCTTGTACTCCGGGCATTTGGGGGACACGGGGTGAGCTCATTTGAGGGTTTTTGTTTTTGTTTTAATTTAAATCTTCTACTCCGGAGACACTTCGAGGGCTTCTCATTCTGGTCTGGAATGACATTTCTCCAAGTTGGAAACTGTTGCAGCAGCTGCAGGAAATAGTTTTTTTTTTTTTTTCCTTTTGCAGGGGAGGTGGGGGGAGCGTGGGGGTGTCAGATGTGAGTCGGCTCAAGGAAACAATCTTTTCTAAAAATGTAGTCCTCCTTCGCCCTGCGTGTGTTGGGGCTCCCATGGGGAGGGTTTCAGAAGACGGAAGAAAACCAGGGAATGAACTGCGGACCAAGCTCAGGCCCATTGGGGATGCGGGCTTCAGATACTAGGCCTGGGCTTCTAGAAACAAGTGCTTTGGGATCTGCCCAACATTTTCCTTAGTTCCGCGAGGCACGTTCGAAGTTAAGAGTGAGTCTAGCGCGCACTTGTCAGTTGCGAGTGGAAATCTGTCAGTTAACCTGTATTCGTGCTTGCCACATTTGGGGTGGGTGGGTTTCTCCAGGGAAGGAGGCTAAAGGAGGTGGACGCTTGGAATTTGGAGCTTCTGTGGCCTCCCCACTCAGCCTCTTTTCTTTGTGAATAGGCGCTGACTACCAAGGAGCAGTATTCTCTGTACCTGGGCTGGGCCCCATTTGGCAGGAACAACATCGGACCTGACCTGGGTCAGGTAAGTGGAAGTTTGAGTGCTGTGTTCAATAATGAGCTTTTGTCCAAAGCTTCGTGTTCTTTAAGTCATCCCAAAAGAGCTCTGGGATGGGGAGTAGAAAAGAGGAGGAAATGCTTTTTGACTCAGTCTCCAAAATCTGTCTTTGCCTTTGGTGAGGGCTTCAGGGAGTGGATGAAAGGTGGGGGCGGGGGCCAAGTCAGCTGGGGCTCGTTTATTGGCCATGGCACAGAATGGAAGCCACCTGGAGGTTTACTGGTGGGAGGCATTAACTTAGGCAGTAAAGGAGGGGCCCTTTGGTGCCTGAAGCCTGA